AAGATGTCTTTTTGGTGAAGAGATATGGTCAAAGAGAATTAAATGTGGCAGATGAAGACTGAAAAGAACTCATTTAATTTAACAATTAAGAGGCCATTAATGACCTCATCAAGGGCAGGCGGCATCAAATTATGGAATGTAAATCAACTTCTACTAAAATCATTCTAAAATGGAGGTAGAGACTGCAAGTAGGAGGTACATTTTCAAAAATGATATAAATGTAAGAAAAGAGGGCAGTAAATGAATGGGAATACACAGTTGAGTAAAAGCGTGTTTAAGTTAGAAGGATTTTGACAAAGGGGGAGAAATAAACACAAAGTCTGAGGCTAAAGATACAAGTCAGGGAACAGACAAGTAGAAGGGGGAAGAATGGTGTACAGATGAGAATCAGAAGGCAGGAGGATGGCTACTTCACGCACTTGAGATGGAAGAACATAAATGTGTATGCAGGGGAGTTAAGGTTGTCTAAGAATGAGTATGGAGAAGGTAGAACATAAAATGGAAGAAATTTATGAATATTTCAAAATAAATTTTGTAAAAAGTGGAAGTGTAACCTGACTACACATTCAGTGCACTACTTCCTTGAGGAGAATTCAATAGCCTGGGCATATGAGTTCAGAGTGGCCAGTCAGTAGGACTGATGCTTTGTCTTTGAGTCCTCATCCCTTCATTCTCTTGTATGTTCTTTTCCCATAAATAAAATGTGTGTCAAGGCCTTCTGTGTGTCAAGGCCTTCTATGTGCTGAGCTTCCCAAAGAATGCTAACAAGACAAAACAGGGCCCCTGCCTTTAGAATCATATGATTAGAAAAGAGAGACAGAACAAAACATTACAACAGCAATGGGTGCTATATGAGAAGTTCACAGCACTATGAAGAAAAAGTAAGAAGACTGCCTAACCCATATGAAGGGGACAGAGAAGATCTCCTTGAAGAAATAATATTTGAGACCTGAAGAAAGGTAGTTGCCTAGGGAGAAGTAACAATGTTCAGGAGGGAACAACATGTGCAAAGACCCTCCAAAGAACCCTAACATAGAAAGAACAGGTCACTTTGGAAGACTCAAAAGTTCCATATGCCCAAGTATAGAGTACAGCTGGTAAGAATTTTGAACTAGATTCTAAAAGGAATAGCAATCTGCACTTGTAAACAAACACCCTGATGATGGTGTACAAAATAGAAACTGGCAAGAATAGGTGAAAGGTGAACAGTTAAAAGGCTATTAAGAATCCAGTCAAGAGAGGACGGTAGTATGGATGAAACTGGTTAACAGTGAGGACAGGCAAAAGAAACTAAATACATTAAGAGATTTTGAGGAAGTAAAATCAGTAAGACTGCATAAACTTGATGTGGGGAGCAAGGATAGGAGAAATAGAGGATGATGTTCAAATTCCTAGCTTGGGAAATCTGATGGATGATGAGTTGTACCAATTACTAAGAAGGACTGGGTTTGGTGAGAGGCTCTTTTAGTCTGTTGAGTTTGAGGCAACTGTGAAGCATCCAGGCAGACAAGGAGTCGAATGTATGTTCAAATCTGGAACTCAGGAGAGGCTGGTGACAGAAATAGTATGAGTGGGTGATCCTGCAAGGAGAGGACATGACGTGAAAAGAGGGCTTAGGACACAGAACTCATGCCTAAATACAGTGAAGAAGTGACAAAAACATGAAGAAAGAGCCAGAGAGAGAAAGAGAAGGAAAAGCAGGAGTTCAGAAGTCAGATGCAGGGGGAGGGGGAAAGGGAGTTTTAAGAAGAGTCAACAGTCTTTAAAGCTAAGTGGTCAAGAAAAATGAGGAATAAAATTAGTGAAAATTCTTATGAAGACTGAATAGGATGTGGCATAAGTAGGAAGTATGGTAGCAGAGAGAAACTTTTCAAACAGTTTAGTTGTAATGAGAGAGTAGGATAGTGAAGTTCCATTTCAGAAGTGGAAGAGGGGCAAGTGACGATAAAGTTTAACATTCAGTCAATGGTGGGGAAGGAGGACAGTTGAGAGAGGGAGAAGTATCAGTGAAAAGCCCAGGAACAGATACGGTCACGGGGAAGGCATACAGGGTGTTAGATAGGTCATCCACATGGAAACCCAGGGCATCTGTGAAGATAATAGGATTTAGAATGAAAAGGACATTTTTAAGCCAAGCACCAAAGCCTATGCCTAGCATAGCTGAGATCCCAGAACGTTGGAAGATTTAAGGTCTTATGAGATAGTCAGATATTATGTATCTCAAAGGAGAAGAGATGTTTTTATGAAGCTACTTGAGAGGTGGAGGTAGGAGGATCATGGTCACAGGCTGGACTGGGCAAAAGCGTAAAACCCTATCTGAAAAATAAACTAAGTGAAAGGCCCTGAGTTCAATCCCTAGTACCAAAAGAAAAAAGAAAAGATTGAAGTCCTAAACATAGACCTAAAACTATAAAAATCCTAGAAGAAAACATGGGGAAAGCTTAATGACATTGGATTTGACAATGATTTCTTGGATATAATACCAAACCACAAGCAACAAAAGCAGAAATAGACAAATGGGACTATATCAAGCTTTAAAACTTCAGTACACCAAAAGACACAATCAGCAGATTGAAACAGCAACATACAAAATGGCAAAGATATTTCAAATCATGTATCTCCTAATTAGTCAACATCCAGAATATTTAAAGAATTCCTACTACTCACTGGGCATGAATGGCACATGCTTGTATTCACAGCCCTTGAAAGACAGAGGAAGGAGGACTGCAAGTTTGAGTATAGCCTGGACATAGTGAGTGCCAGGCTAGCCTGCTACATAGTGTGACTCTACCTCAAAAACACAGCAAAAAGAATTCCTTCAACTCAACAACAACAAAAGCAAAAAAAATAAATAAATAACACAATTAAAAAGTATACAAAGGACTTCAACAGACATTTCTCCAAAAAAGACATACAAATGACCCACAGGCATATGAAAAAGTGATCAATATCATTAGAGAAATGCAATTAAAACTACAATAAGATTATCACCTCCCATCCTTTAGAGAAATTGGAGCCCGTGCCCTCCTGGTGGGATTGTAAAGAGATGCACTGCTATGGAAACAGCATGGAGGCATCTAAAACACTACCATATGATGCAGCAGCTCCACTTTTAGGTATGTATCTAAATGAACTAAAAGCAGGATCTCAAACAGATATTTGCATTCCCAAGTTCACTGTGGCATGAATTTCGATAGTCAAATGTGGTATAGTCATACAACAGAATATTAATAATTCAGCCTTTAAAAATAAAGAAATCCTGCCACTTTACAGCACGGATGAACCTTAAGGACATTTTTCTAAGTGAAATAAACCAATCAAAAAATGACAGATACTTATGATGCTAGGGGTCTACAACAGTCAAACTCATACCAACAGAATGCACAACAGTGGTTGCTAGGAGCTGGGGGAAGCTGAAAACAGGAATGGTTTGTTCAATGGGTATAAAGTTTCAATTTTTCAAAACAAAAAATTCTAGAGATCTGTTGTGGAACAAAGTGAATATACTTAACACTACTAACCTGTACATTCACAAATGATTAAGGTGGTAAATTTTATGTGTTTTCTCCATAATTTAAAACTAAAAAGGGTTAAATAGCAGAAGAAAAGGTTGCATTTGGGGCAGTAACCTTGAATTACAAGGTTAAATCCAGAGCAAAAAAATCCAAGCACCTACCACTCTTTGGGTTCAAGCTATTTCAAAACCAATTCGGAATGAGGCCTCTGTTCATGCTGGAGACCTAATGGGCCTGTTTTTAAAGTTTCAAGACTACAGGAAATTACTACAGAATCTCTGAAGAGAGGACACAGATCTTCAAATCTTTACCAATTCACGGAAGCAGTAATCCCCAGTAGGTGTTAGGGTCCCTTGATTGAGCTGACCCTAATCAAGCTTAGAGCTCCTGTAAGGGAAATACAGGAGCCTCTCCTTGAATGCTCAAGTTAGTTAGAAAAAGGAGGAAAAGCCACACATTACAAGCCTCATGCTCTATCTGTTAAAATAAATGTGTCACCCTTGTTTTTTCTTGTATTACAAATGGTAAGCTTCTTAGGTCTCTTTTTAGATATGAGCTAATGGAACTCAAGTACTTAGCTTTGAGAATATATAAAAAGAAAAGGGGACTATGTTCCAACTTTTAACTTTTACATACCTACAAAAAAGCAGATCCCATGCTGCATCATAAAATTGTTTCTAATGGTGAAATTGAGAATGCTCACAAAAGTATCATTATGAATCTCTTTTCCAATGTGGAAACTTCCAATACAAAACACTGTTTTCACTTAAGACATCTGGATTCCTGTGTTGCTACATAAGATGTAGTACTTGGTCCCCAAAAGATGACAATTTGATTGGCTGCCTTAATAGTTTTTCATGCAAATAAAAAACAGTACTTTTATGCAAGTAAAATAGCTTTTTTATATAAATTCTTATCTATCTGTTTAAATCTTATTACCATATTAAACCAGAAGACGAGCTCTGGCACTTTTTTATAGGTCCATGTCTGAAGGCAACCATGACTGTTCTGAGTTGCTTATCCAAATAAAAGAGTTCAAAGTCTGTCTCTTAAATTAACCTAGTCTAATGGAATACATGAGGATAATCACAGAAGATGGAGGAATCAGAACTAATAAGTGTTCAGCAAGAAACGGAAGGAATAAAATACCAAGGAGATACATGAGTTCCAATTTCCACCTTCTACTACCTTGAGAGAGGACTTAACTCTCTCCATTATGGGCCTCAGTTTCTTACACTATAAATAAAATAGCTTCCTCATTTCCAATATAGTCACTGTAATCTAGAACCACTGGAGCATGAGTGTTAATAGCCCCATATATTTTCAGTTACATAGAACTGTTTACAAAAAGCTTTTGTCTTTGTTTTGGGTTTGAATCCTTTTTTTTCCCACCACAGTGTTTTATAGAGACAATAGCTGAACATGATTTCAACCTCAGGCCCTTTGGGGCTGTTTCACAGGTGGGGTGGAGCTATCGATATTTACCAGTATTTTCCATAGAGCCAATGGCCTCCCCATGTCAGCAAGCAGAGCCCAGCTGTAGTTTTCTTCCAGTGATTTCGAAGTGTTCTAAAGAACACAGTCATCTTCTCCTAGAGATGTGCTAGGTTAGTAGAGACAGAAAAAAAGAAAAATAGGATTATCCAAGGTAAACATGTAGCATCCTATGACTCTTCTCCCATTCTTCCATCCTTTCTTTTTTCCTTTCTCCACTTGGTTTCCTACTTGCCTCTTCTATTCTTCTCATCTTTTCCCTTCTAGCCTCATGACCATCTTCTCACCTGCTTGCTTACATTTCCTTCTTTCACATCTTTCCTTCCAAACTACCCTTTTTTCTTACCTGATCATCTTTTCCTCTTTACATTAGAAGAAAGGAAGAAAGGCAGAGAGGAAGGGGATTTCCAAGCTACCTCTGGTTTTTCTATCATCTTACTCCTAAATCTCACTATCCCACTATTTAAAAGTATTTGTCTGCCCATTTCATATGAAGGTCCCAACGCCTCATTAAGGGCTATTCAAAACAGAAGAAAGCACAAGGCCTCCAACAGGAAAATAAGCAGAGAGCATGCACAGAAAGCATAATAGAGAGGAAATGCACATGGCTATGTAAAAATGCTCACTACTGAGTAATCAAGACATACAAATTTTAAAAACTATCGTTATTCTCCTATGAAATTAACAAATTTTTCAAATTATCATATTCAGTGATGAGAAAATAAAATGAGAGATACTTTCATACACTCCTATAAGGAAGGTAAGCTAGCACAAGTCTACTAAAAAACAAAGTGACAAAAAAAAAACCCTCATTCTGTTAGTTTTCTCCAGGGCTTACCATTTGATGATACTTACTTTTATTTGCTAACTTTTTGCTTAGCTTATCCCACTAGAATGTAAACTCTATGAGAGTAAGGACTTTGTTCTGGTCACTGCTGGATTCCATGCCTCAAGTAAGACTTGCCATATAATAACTACTTAAGGAATATCTAAAAAATGAGTAAGTCATGCAGTAACTAAAATTGTTACTGAAAATTTTTACAGATGTGGAAAAATTCAAAATATAAATTAAGTAAAATTAGCACATAAAAAGCCATATATAATTGATAGTATCTTAATTATGTTCAACTATGGATATGAATCAAAAAATGCCAAAACATATAAACAAAAACAAAATTTTAAGTAATTTCCTCTAGGTTGAAGCATGGTGAGTGATATTTGTTGCTAAAATCACAATGCAGATGCTGAGTTTTCTAAAATGTATATAAATTATTTTCTAAACAAGTGAATAATTTAAACAAAAATTTTTATGACTGTGAGATAAACAAAGTGGGGGGGGGACTGCTTCTACTGAAGAGTCTAATTCTCTTATTTCTTCTTTAACCACTATTGGTTAAAAACTCTCTCACTGGAAGAAACATCCTTATTTCACGCAGCAATAGAGCAGTGCCAGGGAGCCTGCCTTCCCACAAATCCTGAACACCATCCAGGCTGGTTCAGAAAGGGTCCCAAAGGCCCACCTGATTGTTGATCTCCTTTCCACCTGGCTCTACACCCTTTCTTCATTTAAAAGCCCTTTAATAAACTCATATGCTAGGCTCTGTGCCAGGAGCTAGAACAAAGAAAAGTAGGACTCACTCTGAAGTGCTCATAACTATTAAGCCCACAATCACAACAAAATTACACAGGTTTGGTTACAATACAATGCGAAGAATGTTAAGGGGCAACCACAGGCTCTGTGCAACTCCACAAGAATGGGAGTTAGGGGCCACAGAGAATCAAAGAAGTCTTCCTTCAGTTCTGAAGAATGAGGAGTCACCAAAGAAAAGGAGCTATCTATACACTATGGTCTGAACATTTGCTTCCCTCCAAAATTCATTTGCTGGAATCCTAATCCCCAATGACATGGTATTAGCGCATCTGGTCTTTGTGAGGCAATGAGGTCATGAGGTTGGTGTCTTCATGAATAGGATTAGTGACCCTATAAGAAGAGACTCGAGAGTGATGGTTTTGCTCTCTTTCTGCCATGTGAGGACATAGCAAGAATACAGCCATTTGCAAACCAAGAGTAGGGTTCTCATCCAGTGCCCAATCATGCTGGCATCTAAGTGTCAGACTTCCAGCCTCCAGAACTGTGAGAGATGAATTTCTGTCATTTAAGCTACACCAGTCCATGGCTTTTTATTGTAACAGCCCAAAAAAAGCACCTTATATTCAGAGAAACACAGGTAGATAGTGAAGAGGACAAGAGATTTCTCTTCTCATCCATCACTAGGTTCATTACTGAGACCCCTATATAAATGAATCCATTAGTAACAAAAACATGCAAATGTACTTAATGTAACCTTTCATGTGGTAAGGAGCCTTCAGAAATGAAGACCCAAATAGGGAAACCTGTGCATTTTTATGCTAAGTCTGATGAAGAGTAGACAGTTGTGCAGAAGCATGATTCAACATGCTTACTATTTATCCTAACGGTAATAGTAAGGGAAATTCAGCAAGGCCGGTTTGTTGTGATTCTTCTGTGTCCCTATGTCTTCAGGGATAGAGTATTCCTCTCTTCCATGTATAGGATAGGCATCTTTCACAGGAAGGTCTTACACAGAGGAAGGGTAGAAGATCAGAGTAAAACCTTCCTGCTTCTGATGTTTCCTCAAATGCCAAAGTGCCATATTTTGGGGTAGCATGTACTGTATTTCATCAATAGTTTAGTATGAATAAAGAGCAAGATAAGTATGGGGAAGTGTCTACAATTTTTAGTGATGTGCTTATTAAAATGCATAGAACTTGCTTCAGATGCAAATCCTCGGGCATTACCTTCCTTCCTCCAAAGCCTCATTTGTTCTGGAATTGAGCTGTCGTGTTCATTTTTAATAAGTACTCTCAATTTTAATGGAGGTCAGCACCATACCAGACTGTGAAAAACAGTGGTGCGGAAATAAGGGATGGGAGCAGGGGAAAGATTAGAAAAGACCTTGAAGCTGCACTAAAGACTTTGGATATTATGTTAAAGACAATGAAAAAATTATGGGATTTAACAGGTGAGTGATGTGATCATATTTGAACTGTGCAAAGATCACTTTTCAGCAGAATATAAAATGGACTGTCAGAAGCTGAAAGCAAAACTAACAAGAGTCATTAGGAAGCTACTGTCATAATTTCTAGGCACCTAAAGGAAGGAAGAAACAAAACCTATCCTAAGACTGGATTTAGAGGTCTTTAGAAAATAAAAATTGACAGCACTTGGTGATCAATTGATTGTAAGAAGTGAATGAGGAGGAACCAAACCAGGTTTTGTGCTTGAGCACCTGGTTGGAGAATGACTTCAGTTTTTTTAACTTGTAGATTTGTGGAGAAAGATGGTGTTGCAGCTTTGGAGCTACTGAGATTGACATGCCATGGGGCATCTAAGTGGAAATGTCCAGTGGATGTCTGGATTTAGCAGTTTGAAGTTAAGAGAAAATGTCTGGACAAAAGATACAGATTTGGGATGCATTGGTGTGGAGGTCGAGTTAAGCACTGATTAAAACCATTCAAGGGAAGGGTAGAGTAAAAAGAATGCCAATAAGTCAGAAAACAATCTAAGCGGCGGTTTAAGTGTATTAAAAGGTCACACCTGACTCAATGGAACTCCCTTCTTGTCACAAATAAATGATTCACGTATTATGAAAATGTGCAAATACGCAGACAATTTAGTGTGGAAAGAGGACTAGCCCAGGGATCTGGAACTGGATTCTAGTCCTAGTTTTGTTACTCACTGGTGGTAGGAGTCTGAGGAACTCATCTAACTTCTACCTCCTGTCTTCACTTTAGGATGCACCGTCTGTTCTGACTACCTAATTTAGCTGTGAAGATCACACGTGATAGGGCTGTGAACGTAATTTGTAAAATTTCCTACACTTTCATCACAACATGCAATACATTAATTAACAATGCATAGCCTCTTCTCATTACCCAATTTCTCACTCGCTAATCTCAACAAAAGTTACATTTTATATGTTCAAATTAACATATTTTCGTCTTCAGTGCAACTTTTCCCAAATTCTAACTGTAGCCGACTCTCCTGACGTGAAAGTTGGGAACAGGAGGGTTCGCACTGGACAGTGGACCAGCCCTGGTCCAACCCATTCAGAACCTAGTAAGGCGCCGAGAATGAATGAACCACACCACCCATCAACGGATCCTATACTACTGGCCCCGTTTGGCACAAAAGTACACCAAAGCCCAAGCCGAAGAGTGGGTGAGAGTCCACAGGAGCCACAGCTCTGGCACTCGAACCCAGGGCACCGGACTCACATCTGACCGACCGCGGATGCGCGCGCCGAGCCCCTCGGGCCCGGCCTCCACCCTCGGGCCGCGCCGCCGCCCTCACCCGCGCTGCCAATACCGAGGCCGGAACCCCAGGCGAGGCCCGGCAACCCAGACCCAGGGCGGTTCCGGCAGCTCCGCCCCACGCCCGGGCCTCGCTCGCTCCGGCCCGCCCCAGCGGCCAGCGCTCGACTCCCCGCACTCACCACCGCCTAGCAGCTCAGCGCCTGCTTTTCCTGTGCGCTCTCTCAAGTCTCCCCCTCTCGGGCGCGGGAAACCGCTGCCGCCGCCCTCAAGTTCCGCCGCAGGGCTGCGCGGGCCGGGCGGGGTAGGAGCGCGGGGGCGCCGCCCAGGGGCTGCCTTCCTTCCGGTTCACTCCTTCATTTGCTTCTGCGTCCTCTTCGCCCGTCCATCCTTCGTGTGCCAGTGTTTTCTGGAAGAGTTCCCCAGAACTAAAGTAATAAAGCAATCTTAGATGGCGCCAGAAGAAAATGAAAGCAGGTGATAGAAAGGGATTAGGGTGGCGGTCCAAGTTAGGCCTCCCTGAGTAAGGGGCAACTGGTCTGAGACCTGAATGGCAGGGAGGAGGAGGTCAACCAAGATCCAAGGGAAGAAAGAGCCTGGCACAGGACAGCCCATGCAAGAGGCCCAAAGCCCGGGGCAATCTGACATGTTAGAGGCCAGTTTGAGAGAGCCAGGGAAAAGGAGGAGGCATGGGGCTGGAGGTGTGGCTCAAGTGATCCAATGCCAGCCTTGCAGCAGTGAGGCCCTTAGTTCAAACACCAGTACCAAAAAAAGGGGGGTGGGGGGGCGAGGAGGAGGTGGAGCCATGAAGCTTCAAGACAGGCCACCCTGGGGATGTA